ATTTAAAATCGGTACATAAAAGATAGAACAAGCCACCCATTATCAATTAGGGCAATTTGAGTATTTATGGTGTAAGGAAGGCTTCTTGTTCATTGAGAAATCGGCAGAAGTTGAAGTGAAATTTTCCCCATATTTTTTAGGAGTGCAATTTCTCATTGCTTAAAGCATGCCCCTTTGTAGATACTCATGTTGTACATGAATTTGATTGGTAGAAATTGGTTACTATAATATATCCCAATGGAGTGAAAATTCTTAGGGAACAAAGTACATAGGATTAGGAATCTTGAAGGTACGATTCCCAGAATATTCTCCTTGTAAGTCACTCCATTGGTCACCTACATTGCCCCATATCCTGTAACCTTGTTCCATCATTTGCTTTCTGATTGTTGTTTTGTATGTTGTTGCGCTTTGTCTTTTGTTCTCTATTGTCCTGAAAGTATAATATTTGTCACACATTGCAATAATAGGTCCATTTTATTCCTTCTTTTATCTTTATATAGATATGATTGTTTGTGTTGTTTGTGTTGTTTATGATGTTTACTTGATGTTCGAAAAAAAAAATCTAAATTAAGTAAATTTTTTTTACCTCATGATCAACCTTTCATAACCGGTGAATCCTTGATTATGCAAATTTTCTAGTGTTGCGTCGCGGAAGGTCTCTTCATTTCTTCCGGTTACTAAGAATACTTTGAAGCCGGTTTCGATCAGTTTATTGAACAATTCAAGAACAGGTTGTATTGCTGGTGATCCTCCTTTCATCGCCCATGTTCTAAATCCGGTTGGATCATAAGGGTCACATCTACATGTTTAAAAAAGAGACCATACCATTAGCCATATATTTTCTAACTTTAGGCATCCAATAAATTTATGATCTTAGAACATCTCTATTGAGGGTCACTTCTCTTACACTACAATAATAATAAAAAACAAAAAGACTTACTTTTTTTATGACTTAAAAATTTAACTAAACAATTAATTAAACTATATTAAAAATAATAATATTATATGTTGAATATTCTTTTAAGTTTTTCATGAATGAAAATGCTCTTAGGCCTAGAGATCAAAATATGTAAAAATTAGTATTAGTATTAATGTGAGGACAAGAAGAAAAAGTAACAAAAAGTGTGTACCCGTATCTCTTAAGCCGATAGTAAAAGACGTTTGATAAGCAAGTGTCATCAACGTCCAAGATCCATGCGTTCATGCCATCACCAGGGAGAATTATCTCATTGAGATAAACCTTAATTTGTTCGACAATCAGTTGGACATCTCTGTCGTATTGTCCACCAAGCATGTAAACCTCAACGTAACGCATACATTGTAGAGGAACAACGCGCCATGCACGTACATTGTTGGTCTCTATTGCTAGTCTCCAGCTTAAGCAATAGCTCGCAGGAGCGTTGCCGTCTATCGGTAGCCATGGACTTGTGCTGGTTGCCACTGAGGAGACTGTTAGAAAGATGAGAAGTAATGTCTCTCTCTTACACATCTCCATTGCCTCTTGATTCTTATTCTGCTTTCTCTACCCTTTAGGGTTTTATGCAAAGATACGTAGAGGTCATCATGAGTATAAAGCATGAGAGGAATCAAATGATATATAACCATAACGAAATTGTCAACTATTGAGCAATAAATTTGATAAGAAAGGAAAGGTTTTTTTTTTTTCCATATATATTTTTGTGACCAAGAAAAAGATGAAACAAGAAAAAGCTGTGATGCTTGAAAAAGTGAAGAAGAGTAATAATACCTATAATGTGGTGGTGGTGGAATAGCTTTATAAGTATTGTAGTCGTGAGAGGAGATGTTAGTTATAGAGTGGTATATAAAGAGCTAGAGTTTGGTTTGGTAGAAGATACTGGTTTCATCCACTAAGTCTCAACATTTTCTCGACGACCAACTTATGAGTTATGAAAGAAAAAGAAAAAAACTTATGAGTTATGACTTATGAGGTATGCAAAAGTAATAATAATATAATGAAAATTCTTGAAATGGGGTCAAAACAGCAAGCGCACATTTTCACTAAACACGTACATCTATATATCACCACAATATAATCTCTTATATTTAAACACATTCACATTTATATAATCTCATCTTCAACCATTTCTACTAATAATACATAATCCGCATTTACTAAGTGGGCATGATATCTTTTAGTACGTATATAACACTAGGTGGAGGAGGTCACTATTTATATATTTATGATTCCATGGTCAATTAATTATGCCCAAGTTTTTTTTTTTTTGAAACTTATTATGCCCAAGTTATAGGGTTACTTTTAAGATTTTCTTGAGATAAGCTCGTATATTCTAAAGAAATCGAAATTGTAAGTCTCACGAAATTGTAGACAAGAGACTTTTAGACACACAGTCGTTTCGTGCCAGAAACAAAAACATGTTAATTTGTACTTTCCTTAGCAAAGAAACTCGATACTTTCTTAGTTATGAGGGTCGTATATAGGAAATTATCAAGAAAATTAAGGATTGAGCACAAATTTGTCAAACCAACCAAAAATGGACCGACTAAATAAGACTACAACATTATGGGTTGGATGCTGATAAGGATTGGATTGTTTATTACATTTGTCAACAGAAAAGTGGATGACACGTACGTACTAGTGTAATGGAAAATGTAAAGGACAACAACTAATGGATCTTAGAGTTGTCAACAATAGTACTAAATTAGCAAATTCCGCTAAAAGAGTTGTTGCTTTAATCATAAAAAATTGAAATTAAAACTTCAACCACAATTAGCCAATTAGATCATCTCATTAACGCTCCTTTTGATATATTTTTCATGTCCTCCACCACTCTCTTTGCATTTTCATAGATTTGAATGCCACTCGCAAAACCTTCTTTTTCTATCTCCTTGCAATTTTTTTTAATTGTTTTGAGTGAGTGATGATCCCGTTTTTTTAATTTTTTTTAATTGTTTTCTTGTTTTCAAACATTTCTTATTTTCAAAGAAAAATCTGATT